GCTCTGGGGAGCCCAGAACTGGACACTGCACTTCAGAGGGGTCCTCACCAGTGCTGTCGGCAGGACGGCAATGCCCTTCCTGATGCAGCCCAGGGTGCTGCCGACCTTCCTCGCCGCAAAGGCCCGTTGCTGGCTCACAGTCAGCTGGCTGTCCACCAGGGCCACCATTAAAGGTTCAAGAAAATAAAATGTTACGTTTTTTAAAAAGCTACCTCCAACTTAAACTTGTCCACACACTCAGTTTAAAAAAATGACAAGAAGGAAGATTTTAGGATTAAGTAATCAGACGATGAGATATCGGCTGCCAGTTGCAGAAGACTTTCTACATGACCTTGAAGGGGAAGAAAAAACCCACATAAAAAACTTCTGTGTCTCAGTTCCCACTCACCATGTGGAAAAAGCAAATACTTGTGACATACAAAGAAAACACAAGATTGAGGTCTCTGGATCAGCACCCGTGTCTCCCACCATACCCATGTACAGTGCACGGCACAAGCAGAAAGAAAGGAGCAGAGACATTGATCCTGTGGCAGCCTGCAAGCAAAACTGTAATGTAAAAAATAGGAATGGGTGGGAAGATTCGAAACAAGGTACAAATCCTTGGAGCAAGGATTCTGCCGCCTTCTACTTTTGGAAAGCGGCCAGCAACCTATACTGGAACAGGAATCACAATAAATAGAATTCATTCTTAAAATGCATTTCAGAAATAGTAACATTTCTCTGAAATTAAAATAGTAACAGTCACAGAATTAAAACATAACATTTAACTCTAGTGTATGCGTGCGTGCGTACATATATTTTATTCTGATCTTACAGTTCCTTATAATCTCCCGTTTTTCAGCTGGAAAACAAAAAAGGCATATATTTTCAAATTTCATATTATTTAAGAAGCTGAGGAGAAAATTCAGCTCTTGCCTCGAGATCAAATGCCCTTGGGTTTTTGGTTGGGAGAGGGAAGGAGAAGGAGGTTAAAGAATTGGGATGTAAAGGGGAGTGAAATAATCCACATCCTTATTCATGTGGAATAGTTTGGTGTTGGGGGTTGTTTTTGCTTAAATTCCAAGAACGCTGGCCCTTGTTGGAACAACCTGAGTCAGATTTTGCTGCACAGAACAGCCAAAATAGTGTATACAAGCTCAGAAAGAGTCATCGGTGTACTGAACCACCTATGCAAAAGATGCCTTCTATAACTAGACCGCACTGACAAAAACAAACACTACTGTGCTCCTGAATGCATTAGCAAGAAGAGACCCAGTTCAGGGATGCAGAAGGCAATTCGAACACCAGCCTGTGAATTCATATTTATCAGTTCAGCAGCATGGCAGAAAGGGGGAGAAACACTGAGGAGCAAATACAGTGCAAGTGTTCTATACTGAGAAGGAAGACAGGGGTTCTCAGGATTAATTTGCTCTCCTGATAAAAGCTATTAGATGTTTCTATGCCTTTGCTTTTAAAACAAACACTGCTCTCACGCTATGGCAACATAAATGACATCTTCATAGCCTTTTTTTATCTGAAGCTTCCGGGATGCTCCCTTCATCTTGTTAATTACACATGAAGTCCCTTTTTGTACAGTCTATTCCCATACTGTCAGAATGCTATGCTATAGCCCACGGTAATCCCGGGACTGAAGACAAAAACAGCACCACCAGCACTCACAGCTCAAGCGTATCCTGAAAGTAGCATACTCAGCAGCACTGAGCCCTTCAGCCATCTCCAGCCCCTCAAAGCAAACAGCTCCTCACACCACACCAGTGGCCATGAGCACGTATGTTCAGCTGTGACTTGGAGAAATTAACACCATCATCTGTCCAGTTCCCCCACAAAAATGGACACAAGCTAACAACCTCCTCCAGAACGAACCTTGCACTGACTCCCACAGCACTCTACGAGGACCACCAGGTCTCAAAGACCGACCACGGCTGTTTGTTTGGCTGTTTATACACTAATTCCATTCTCTCATGCCAGTGGTTTTATTCTAGTGAATGAATACTTCTTTGGACAACCAATTTACTCCTCCATGGAGCACAACACATGAGGTTCTTCCCTTCTTTGCGAAGGCAAGTAGGCAAAGCCCTGTTGTGTTCATTTCTTTCCCTTGAGCACTGCCCAGCAGCGCAGGTTTGTATCAGCTTAACTTTGCTTTGAAGCACTCATCGATTTCCAAACCAAGGCATTTAGTTGCCTAACACCCACTGCTGCGAGGAAATACATGGCTCAGTTCTACAAAGAGCTTTGAAAGTCACTTTGGCTATCAGTCAACTACGGCTGCTCAGTCAAAAGGCTGGAGCACAAAGGCCAAAACCAAGGGATGGAGGTCCTACAAGCAAAAGTTAGCTTTTCCTTCTGAATGCATTTCCCAGTGACAAAACAGCTAACTTTTAAGAGAGTACAGGCTGAAGGGAGAACATTCTCCCAATTTTTAAGACCTCAATTTAATACCAAATCTAGTAAGTGCTTAACATGCTGTCCACATTTGGGTGCGTAGGAGGACTAAAGTGAAGCTCATGCATTAGAAAGCTATGTGCTCTGCTTGCCTAACACTAAGAACCTGTTGGGACTATGCAGTCACCAGACACTGAGTGCCTTAAAATTGAAAGCAATCAATAGAGCTAAAATAAGTGATAAAACTGTATGACACAGCTGAGCTCAACCCATCTGCCAGCCCTTGCCCTCACATAAGCAACATTTTCAGCTGCTTAGAACCCAGCAGGGGCTATATTTGATGAACCACAAGACACTATTAATTAAGAACAATCTTCCAGTCAAACTGATGTTTAAAAGATACATTGCACTCTCCTCACACAGTAACAGAATGTGCACACGCACGGTACTGCGGGCAAGAGCATGCAATCAATACTGCATTTAAATCTATAGGGAAAGCACACGTCATCCTGCCTACAGGAAGCCAGGTTTAGAAACTTCTAGCTACCCAGCATGACTATACGCAAGGCCCAGATGCCCTCACCCTGTATAACTTCAGTGACCAGGATACTGCAATATTTTAGGGGTACTGGTTGTAAACACGTGAGCAAAATCTTCAACTCCTAAAGTCAGCATAGGATTGGAGAAACAGATGGAGACACGGCAGTTCATTCCAGCTGAGAGTCCCACGGAGCCCCAGTTGTCCCAACTGTGCAGTTGGAAAAAACTCTTGTAAACCTACTTAACTACTACTATTCTTACCTTCATCCTACCAGAAGGAGGAAGACTGCACATATATCTCCAAACACACACCCAATGCTGAAAGGCTCTCCAACGTCTCTAGCTACCTCAGCAGAGTTCTCATATCACGGCACTATGATTTCTAGCCCTACTCGCATCACCTGTTGAAGCCAAGCCCTTAACAAAAAATAATTTCATACTCAAGTTAAACCTGAGTTTTGGGGAAAACAGACAAAGCTTCTTGTTCTGTGATTGTTGTTCTGTGGATGCCCCCTCCCTGGCAGTGTTCAAGGTCAGGTTGGATGGAGCTCTGAGCAACCTGGTCTGGTGGAAGATGTCCCTGCTCATGGCAGGGGGGTTGGAACCAGATGATCTTTAAGGTCCCTTCCAATTCAAACCATTCTATGATTCTCTATTATGTTCCCGATACCCAGATTGTAAGATCAGCTTGACAGAGGATATTAAAATCACAGGCTACGTCCCAAATGCTTTTTTGGTGTTCAGATCTAAAACACTAGTGCCCTCTTTTCTGCCTTAAGGTGCAGAACCACTTCAGTCAACCTTGACAGTGGTAGACCTCCTATTCCCAGGCAGAGAAGTATGTTCATGAAATGGCTAAACATCAAATTGAGCTGCGTGTTTATCTGTGACTTCATCTGAAGGTGGGAATTACTACATTTCACACAGCAACCTTGGGGAGCAACAGACTTCCCTTGCATCTCCATTAAGTGGATCATAATGCGGCTAAAGAACCGGGCACGTGGAGAAGCGGCCAGCTATTACAGTACCAGCACAGAGGGCACGCGGCTGTTCAGCACTCAGCTCAGCACGGAGTGCAGGTCGCCTGGCCATTAAATGGGAAGCAACCCAAAGCACTGTGTAACACTCAGGAGACAGTATCTAATAACATAGCTAGATGACAAACAAATATCATGGCATACCGGAGAAATTAACACATTAAAAACAGACAAGAGAAAGAATAAAGGAGATGTGATCTGCTGAGCAGCACAGTTGGCTTCCTCTGTAACTGGCCAAATTACTTACAGCCCAAATTCCTCTGCCCTGCTTATTTTTCCAAGGCTATAAATTTTTGTGTCTTTTTACTGAATGCATGCACAATGTTTAGCTTGGAGATCTAAACCTCATTTAAACCTTCCAGGCACTACCACAATACTGATACATTGAATTTAAAATAACACAGCCCAAATCCCCTAGAAGATCATGTTTAGCTGTCTCTGAAGACATTGTTTTGGCTATTTAGTGACAGTATTAAACCTCAATGATTCGGCAGAACTCTGACTATTAACTGCATAACACAGACAAAAGTCTGCTTCCACCCTCCTAACGACAGCAAGCTGGCCGTTACACTTAACCTTATGTTGTGGGACAATTTTTAATTTTTTTCAAACAAGGATTAGAGCTTGGCTCTCACTGGTTTCAACAAAAGGTAAGCCAGTAAATGTTTTTAGAAGTCCAGCCTTATTTTGTGAGGTTTTACAGCATTCTTTCAGAGCCCTCCATCAGATTCAGTAACACTTAGGAGGCGAGGAAGAGAGACAACAGTGGGAAAGAAAAAATGACACAACATGTTACTATCACTAAAGGTTTCATGTTTAAACCACCTTTTCAGCCCTGCACACCTTTGTGGACTTCACTCAAATTTTTAGAATAGATTACTCAGTAACAGGATGTTACAGATATAATGAAAAAGCCTTTGCTTCCATGCAATTTGAGATTCAAGACATGTCTAAAATCAGAATCCGTGTACCAACTACACTGCTACTATGCCTACGGTATCAAACAACATCTGCATACCGACACATGAGCCAACATACCCAGGACACCACTCTTCCATTGAAGCAAGGTAGCTTTGCATTGTCATCTGAGATCTCCTCCTTCACCACCCTGGAGGAAAAAAAAAAAACAATAGGAAGAAAATCAAGAGTTTGAAGTTACATCAGACCAGAACGGAGAGTGGTTTTCTTAAACGGTCATGAAAAATACAAACTTTTACTAAAACGCTGGTATCTTCCATATTTAAAGAGTAAGTGACTATTAGAACACAGGAAGCAAGTAAAAATAAAGGGTAGAACAGGACCTTTCCAGACAACCACCCCAAGCCGGTAGGCACGAACATAATTACAAGCACTTTTCCCACTGTGGAGTCTTCCATCTCACCACGACTTTTAAAGACCTGATGGTGATTAAAATCCCACTGTGCTGTGCAGTCTCCGTGCCAGAGATCCCAGATCACAAGTCAAGGCCACTCTGCCCGCAAAGAAAGGACCATTACCCCAATTTCCTAGCCTGGATTTGGAGCCAACAGAGCACCTTCCCCCTAAGGCACTGAAGGAGTTGTGGTCACGCTTCACACCGAACCCTCACCTCCTGTACAGCAGACAAGCATCTCAACCTTCTGCATGAACGGAAGCTCTCCTCCCGCCCTCGCCAGCCACACAGCCCTCTTGCTCCCTGTACCTCCCTCCTTTCACTCCAAGACGGTCTCAAAACCCTTAGCTCCGAGTTCCTGCCCCTGGCCCTCTCCTTTTCAAACCGACGCAACGCCAATGCAGCATTCAGCTGGAGCCGTTCTGAGGGCTTCTTGAGAAAAAAATTAACCCAGGGCTCCAACCCCTACAACTAAGGAGAATAAAATCAGCAATTTGTTTTACTAGCACAAGGGTTTTCATAAGGTTTTCAATCCTGAAGACACTTACTGTGACTCAGTATCTCAGAATGAGCATTTGTTCCAACAGTTTAAGATTGGTCATAGCCAAAATATAAATGACACGACTACTGAGAAAACAGTAATTCTCCCATTTCATTAGACTTAATTCCAAGCTCCCAATTCAGCAGCAACTGAAGCTACCTCAGATGTTTCTGTTCTTCTAACTAGCACAGTAACCAACATGGCCTCCATGTAACAACCTCCTATTCATTAAATTAGCCAGTCATAACTATATACATGTATATTTATAGCTACAAAAAGATATTCTGAATTCTTCAAACAATTCAGTGCTCACTCGTCCTCTTAGAAAGTAAAGTAATCATGTTTTAAGTCAGCAAGATCTTTATGAGGTCTGCTGGAGGCAAAGTGAGCCTCTGGTTCTCCTGGAACTCCTGGACAAAGTGGCCTGCTCTGTAGAAGGCCTCTCTAAATCCCACCCAGGAACTGGAAACAATGGCACTGGTGACTGCACCAGAGTCGCTTCCTTTGGCTTAGTACAGATGAAAAGAGCGGGTTCAAAACCAACTAGTGGTTCAGCACTACTGGGAGTAGTTACTTACTGCCTTGAAGCACTCTTCGCAACAAGCCCCCAGTGAGCCAGATTCTAACTCTACAAACAATCACAAATGTCATCTTTCAGCAGGGCACTTTAAACTGTATTTTTTTAGGACTGCTGCTTTACGCTGGAGAGTTCCAATTTAAAGCAGCAAAGATTTATACAACCCTGCATTTGCAACAGCTTCTTTAACAAACCTCCCTCATTTATACAAGACCATGATCTCTCAGCAAGTGTTTTTTGTCTTTAGAGAAGTAGACATTGCTGGTGGCTTCTGAAGAGACCATTAAATGCGAAATTCTAAAAGAATCACCATTTCAGAAACCAGCCTGAGTGGTGCTTCAGTTTTCAACCCGTGCTTTATCACCTAAGTTAAAATCAGAACCGCTGAAGTCTGCTCATTCTGCAGCTCTGGCTACAGGACTTGGTAACTGGGCTGCCTCTTTGTTACAGTCCAGGAGTTTCAACGTAAGATGACGCAGCTCTGAATCAGTGCTGTGATGGATTCTCTCTTGTTGATGATGACCCACAAGACAGGACAGAAATGGTCCGTGTTATCTATTACAACACTTTGGTCTGGTTACTTCTAGTAAGGAGCTACAGATGAAATACAGGACAGTTGGCTCCCCATTCGGTTTCTCTGGTTACAGGTGAGAATAACATCACTCTTCGAAACAGGAGCCCAATCTCTAAGCTTTAAAAAAGCCAACCTGAAGTCTAGTCAAACTCTTCAAAAACTTGTGGTTCCATAACCACATTTTCCTTTGTTTATGTTTTCATCTTTCTTGTTGCTGTGTTAAAAAACCCGCAATAACCACAAAGCAACTGACTGTGCATGACACAGTGTCGTATTATGAGGGGGAAAAAAATGGTTAGGAAGGAGGAGGGAGGAGAGGAGAGCAAACGGAGCTTCTTCCCACCAGACTTTTGGAAAACTAGGAATAGATAACACCACCACTAATACCTGCATTTGCACATTTTAATCCATTTTTTAAAGAAGGAATGAACATTTCATTCTTTCTCCACACTTCTTTGCCTTGTTAATGGCTAGCAGTGCAGTCTTCATCCCTTTGCTATTATTGGAAAGAAAAACATTTTAAAATATTCATTTAACTCCTAATGAATCTGTCCTCCCTTTACCTTTTGGCAACAGGGAACAGATCATATGATTTCATTACTGATTTTGGTCATTTATACCTAGACTCTGAAGAGGCAATTAAGAGTAAACTCCAGTGAAATCAACCGATACTCAGGGCTTTGAAATCCTCTGATGACGATTCAATGAAGCGCTCAGACCTGTAATTCTGGAGCTGCAAACTCCCGTGTGCAGACAGAGGATTTCAACATTTGCATGGATCTCCAGCCCCAACGGACTGACTTGAATTCAGACATTATCTTCTGTGTTTCACAGAGTCCTGGAGAGAACACCCACTCAGCAAAGACCCAACTGCAGAATCAGCAAATAAATATGCTGCAACAATTATATGTTGACAGCTGCATGTTTTAAATGACAGTATCTTCCCTCACCCCCACCAACGAAATGCCACTTACTGCAGCCCAGAAATCATATCCAGAAGTTCTGCACCAAGTTCTAAGACTTAGGCAAAAGTCCAGCACTAAATTCACACTGCTTGTGAGGTTCTCTCCAGAGAAAAGGCTTGGAGGTCTTTCCAAAATTGACATACACAGCGGCAGTCAGGATATCCCGGCAATACTGCACAGACTGGTTCAGTTGTCCTCACGATGGAAAACGAGCACGCTGAAGTCACCACTTACAAAACAACGTGCTCTATCACAGCATCACCCTTCTGCTGCAGCTAAAGGGAACAACTTCCAGATCTGTTGCAACTTGAACTACTAAATATAGCCTTGAGCTATGAGGCAAAAGAATGATAGACTGTAATTCCCAGCTTGCTTTGGGTAGCAATCAACTGTGCCAAGAACATCAAAGACAACAGCAGCCACTAATTTCAAATATCACTGTTTTACAAATCACTATTTGTAGTAGAGAGGCAGCTCCTTTCAATTCTCAGGAAGGAGAAGCAATGGAGAGAAGGGAAGAAAGCAATATGAGTGGTTGCAGCCGTGTGCCTCAGTCTGAGGATGGCTTTCTACTCAAGTTGTCTTTTGCTCTACAAGAACTTAGAAGGCAGGGCAGAGGGAGACCCATGCCATTGTCTGCTTTTGGAACACACATGGTCCATTAGGAACTAACACACGCAGCAGCTTAAGACTAGGGTGGGTAAGTCCACAACCTGGACCCAACCCAAGGTAGCACGGCAAGGAAGAAGAGGCGAGGCATTTGATCTGCCAGAGACCTCCTACTGAGGTGAAGAAAAATCTGTTGGCATTGGATGTGGTTCAGTGTGGAGATGTGACACCAGAGCTCTCAAACACAATCGCTAACGGACTTGTTTGATAATAAGAACAAAGGCCATCTGATACCAAGAAACACATCCCCTGCCCTCGCAGAGTTAAAGCTTCCCTTCAGCAGAAGGGATATTTGTTTCCTAGGTCATATCCTGCCTCCTGGCAACACCGTGCCTCCATAATTGCCAGCAAGGCTGGAATGTGTGCAGTCTCTATTCCAGCACACACCACCTTCCACTTAACCCAGGTTACGAGCCACTCTGGGTCAGAGAGAAGCGAGCAAATAAACACCTATCCACACAGCCGTTTGCAAAGCTACCGCTCAACGAGCGCCCAACGGTAACAGAACCAACCAGTCATTGCCAGATAACGTGGGTCGCAGCACCTCCCAGCAGCAGGTCCACCCTGTACTGCCCTGCCGTGTCCCAGCTGCACACCGTTCTCCTTTGCAAAGGGGAGGGAGGGGAGACTCTGCCAGCACACCAATAACCTAACTTGAGATTTTTCTTCAATGTTCAGAGACTTGCAACATCCTTCTCTTCACCATCCTCCAGAAAAATCTTGATGCACAAGATATTAGATCCTTTAGTCCATCCTTCAAAGGCATCTACCAGGCAAAAGGAAGGTAAAAGAAGAACGCAGGAGCACAACCCACCCAAGGTCACACAGTACATTGGTGACAGACCATGAAAAAGACCCCACACTCTTGAATACCCCCAAGCACCTGCTGTATCGTCAGCAAGCTCCCCACTACCACATCTCACATCAACACAGTCTTCACTTTGAAAGAGTATGTGCAAAAAAGGGTGTGGATGTGCAGGGAAGGGGAGGAGGGAATACTTCTCAGCAGCTCACATCCTCTGCTTTATTTGACTTAGAGGAGATTTAAGAACTAATTACTAAATGAAACAATCACTCCTGGTAACAGCCCCTCCTTCCTCTCGCTTCCTGGAATTGTGTCTGGATCCTCTGACTTTGCTGCCACCCTACTCTGCACAAATAGATATTTGCACATTTAGCCAAACGAGCCTTGTTCACCCTCTCACACCTCACCTGTTTCTACATGAGGTTTACACTCCTGCTTACCCTCCCAGTATCCTGACTTCTTGTTTTCCTCCAAAGGTGATATGAGCCCGAAGACCAAGGATTCTTTAGGCTTACCCTCATTCTCATCCCTCTGCCAAGCTGGTGCTGCCTCAGAATATACGCTGACTCCATATTAAGAATACTGAGCGAACCCTACAAGCCTCTAATGACTCTCTGATTCATAAGCATTTAGGCAATTGGATATTAAACACTGTGCTTGATAGTGTTGCATACGCTTGCATTTTGATTGCATCACGTATGCCTGTGAGAGACTTCATCTCCAGAACTAGCTAGATGATTTTTTCTTTCTACTCTGAAAACTGAGGTTAACAAGGAAATTCTCCTTTGCGTGATTCACCGGTTGCAGGTCCAACCCTCTAAGGCCACATACAGGGGAAACGCAGGGCTGAGGCAGCAGTGCAGCCCCTACAGAGTCACTCCAGGTTAATGTGTACCACGCCACAAAGCGCGCATCCTAACACACTTTAGTACCAGATTAACCCCACCTTGTCACTGTGATCACAATCAAGTCTTTTTTTAACTCTTTCTTATTGTCCTTTACTGATGGCAGAAGGGGGAGAGAAGCTTCATTCATCACTTTTTATAACTTGCTTGGAGGTCCCTAGAAAGAAGGTAAAGTAATTAACCCATTTGTTGTACACATATCTTCAATGACTCCCATCACCACAAAGGCAAGTAAGAGATTACTCAGATGTTAGTTCTGATTCAGAGACTCTTGCAGGTCGGAAGAGAAATCCAGGGGTCATCTAGTCCAACCTCCTGCTCACAGCGGGTTCAGGTTGCCCAGGGCTATGTCCAGTCAACCTTTGAGTATCTCGAGGGACAGACGTTCCACAACCTCTTTGGGCAACTTCATTCTACTTACGAAGCAGCAGTTTTCCAAAAAGCTGTTTAAATTAGTAAAACCATAAGTAATCACAAATCCCACATCTGCAAAGAGTTAATGCTAAGGGAAGCTATTCGTAAGATTCTACTAACTGCTTTGGCAGATTCTAAGCTCACTCAAAAGCAACTTTTGCTTTGGAAGCTCCCAACTTCTAATGTGGTTTGACAGATATTCGCACACTGGATTAGCAGTCAGACCTACAGTTGTAGGTGTTACACTCCACTGATGCTAGCTAGCTGCTTCACAGAAACTCTCCGACCTTTTTAGCCATAAAAAAATATTTTTAAAGCTTTTCAAGAAGAAGCCCTTCCTGAAGAAGATCCAGACTCATCAAACCACACCCTGCATCTTGCTTGGCAATATCAGGCCAAACGTCCGTGCAGAATACAAACACCTCTGCAGATCAGACTGTTTACTACAATACAAAAGCAAATAACCAAGAACAGCCATTTGTAGGAAAATGTAAGCAAAATAAACAAAGACATGCAGTTCCTTTAAGGACAAACAGCTGACACGCACAGAAAGAGAAAACCTCTCGCCCTTCTGATCACATGATAAATTGCAACTACTGAACTGGAATCCAAGGCTGCAGCTCTAAAAATAGTCTTTCTGAAGCTGATTCACATTTCAGTTTGAATCTTTAATGCAGAATTAAAACTTGAGGCTTTTTGTAGCCGAGGTTGCAACACAGAGAGCCTTTACCCACCCTTCCAACCCAGAAACATGAATGAAAATCAAGTCACCCACTGAATTTACAGGCGAGGCTTGGCTAGCGTATAATGTTCATTCTAATGTTCATAAGAAAGAGGGGAGGAGCAGAGAAATCTTTCTGACGAGCAGATAAACACCATATCGCAGTGCAGCACAGAAGGGCTCTGCTCAACACAAAAGACCCGCAGCCTTCTCTGATGCATGAAAGCCTCAGATCTTGCCTGCACCCCACCGAGCCAGCGAGCACGAAGCGGCAGCGCAGCGTTCCGAGGCAGATCTGCTGTGCTTCGCGACGGAAGGCTCATGCCAATCACTCCTCCAAACACCACAGAGCCAGAGTGGAACCAGCGTTCTCCTTTTTCGGTTGTTATTCATGAACAATGCTGACAATGCTTTGTCTTTCCGTATATGCACTTTTGTATGCCAGCTCCCACATAAACCTGTCAAAAGTGAACATGAACACACCAGCCACAATTACGATATAAATGACACACCCAACTGTGGCACCAAACCCTCTTCAAAACGCTCTTCAAACAAAGATCTCCAGCTTCAACGCACGCAAGAGCTCTCCCAACTACACAGCCGAGCAGCAGGTCTGCACCATCTGCAGAGGCTCAGCTGCACATGGTCAAGGTCCCTCCTGCACAAAGCCAGTTGCTAACGCCAGCTCTTCTGACGGCGCTCCCCAGCTCGAGGTTAACCTCCCGGCCTTCCACCACGCACACCAGCTCCTGCTTGGAGGTTTTCCGTCTGAACATGAGGAAGAACTTCTTCCCTCTGAGGCTGACGGAGCCCTGGCCCAGGCTGCCCAGGGAGGCTGTGGAGTCTCCTTCTCTGGAGATATTCCAGACCCACCTGGCCGCGGTGCTGTGCAGCCTGCTCTGGGTGACCCTGCTTGGGCAGGGGGTTGGGCTGGGTGACCCACAGAGGTCCCTTCCAACCCCCGCCATGCTGTGATTCTGTGATTCTGTTCTGTCGCGAGAAACTGCGTGTGGTGAGTGCTAGGGAAGTCACCTCTTCCTGCACAGGTGACAAACGCACTAAGAAACGCTTTCTTTTTCTTCATTTATGTAATTAGCTGCTAGTCTGTGTCTCGCATTA